AAAAATAAATAAATTAAAAAAATAAAGTTCTTAAGGTTACATTTCTAAAAAAAAAAGAACCCAGCCTCAACTCTCTTCTCCCTCCAGACTCTGTGACCCCTTGCTTCACTCGGACACAGACCAGACCTGCACTGAAGAGCCGATCTCCACAAATATCCCCATAACACAGTTGGGGCGGCGCCGGAGTGTACAGGCCCAGGCCTGGAAATTGTTAGGAATGAGTCCTACAGACAGCTACGCTTCCCTGGAGATGAGAATTTGGAGATAGCTTGGGGGGAGAGGTAACCCTTTTTAAAGCACCCCAGATTTTTTGTTTGAACTGTTCAGTTCCTGAAATACATTATGTACGTCTCTGTCTCATTAAGCAAAGTATATAAGCACAGCTTAACCTTTTCTTAATGACTAAGGTCATCATCATGAACATCACGTCATAACGTGCGGTGTTCCTGGTGTGGGGCTGTGGGCCACTGTGCGGTCTGCCGCTGGGCGATCATACGTTGAGTTCTCTTAGTCTGCTGCTTCAAGACCGTCCCTCTTGCTCTAAGGTATTTCTGCTGCCAACGGCCTTTCTGCTCTTAATATGTTGTAAGCTTGAAAACCAAAAAAATGTGTTAGGAACGTGGCTAGTAAGACTGAATAGGATCTGGGATCCTGGGGCTCTCCTGTGGGTAGAGGACATAGATTTCAGTTTCTCTCTTTGAAACATCTGTCAGCTACGCAGGGAGTCTTCTTACGGATTCATTCTCAATTATGGTCCGGAGAGTTGCTGGAGAGGTACAGCCCGGACGGGGTCCTGGTTGTGGGCTTTATCAGTCTCTCTATCCACCTACATCCAGCCATGCATGCATCCAACCAGTTATTTAAAGTCAAACTGCAAATCCACTGACTTCATGTATATGGAGTGGCATGGTGTCAATAACTTCAACTGGTGATTGATCACCTCCCCCTAGTGGTAGACGAGTATAAGAAAGGTAACAAAGAAACCCCACTGTTTACAGAAAACCCATGGGCGTGGTCAATGGTTTAGTTCCATCCTTAGGTCATCCTGTACAAATGATCCAAGATGGCCAGATGTTCTGCAAATTACACAAATGAGTTTTAAGTCCCAAAGCCTAGAAAAGCACCTGTGTTTAAAATAAACTTGAACATCTACTGGTTAGGCATATTTACAGTCTTCATGAAAAGCCAACAGCCCCTCCCCCTTAGATTTATGAGGCACATGGGTGAGAGGAAAGGGCGCTCAGGCATAGGGGTGTGATGCCACGCGTGCTGGGAATCGGTGACGCCCTAGTCCTGCAGGGAGAGAAGGAAGTAGAGGCTGAGACCCTACACCAGGTCGGTGGGTCAACTGCCAGGCTGCAGAAGGCACCCTGACAAAGATGAGAGGGTAGGCCATGGCCCAGGGTTGCTCTGGGCCCCACCTGAGCAGGTCAGGGAAGCTTGGGGGCCAGGTCACAGAAACCCAAGGGCATTACTCCTCTGCTCTGGCCATCTGTTCATGCTCCACGGGACCCCAAGCCAACAGGGGCTCCCGTGCAAAGACCTGCAGGGAGGTTGAGGTACAAGCTTCAGTAAAAGCCCCCTTTTGACTATTTTGGGATTTGCAGCTTGTAGGGTCGGGTCTACTCTGGTCTTAGAACTTTGATCCTATGTAAATCCTGCTTTCTAAATCGTGATTAAGAGCATCCAGCAAACAGGAAAATTTAAGATAAGTTTCTCTTTACTCCTCACGTTTAAAATTTTAAGTTCTACCAATCCGGACCAGGGCGGGGTGGCACTCACACAAATTTTCCACGAGGCCTCCGGCAATGGGACCAAACCCTCCACCGTATTCACAGCTTTGGTTACTGCTTCCTCATTCCCCATTCTCTCTGGCTTCTTGAGAAGTGAGAGGACATGAACCTTTTACTAGAGACCGCAGTCTGTTAGGTGCCAAAGTCTCATCGGTGCCCCTCCTCTCAAATCTGAAAGTCTCCTCGGTACGTCCCACCCTTCATCTCATCAGCAAATCCCAACAAGCAAACTGGCGGGAAGAGGACAAAGCACACCCCGTGTCCTCTTATTCCTTCACAACAGGACTCAACCAAGTGCGTTCTTCCGAGACTCGGTACCCATCGCGGCAGGCGGCTCACCCTGTAATCCTCCCTACAAGGACCCTCACAGGTCAGCAGGGGCATCAATGCTCCTGGACGACCTCCCTCCATCCCAACAATGAAAACACACTCGAAAGGGCGACACTGCTTATGGAGGCAAGAGGAGCAAAGGGGTGTATGGGAGGGCAGCAGATTAGGGGACGGAGGGTTGATGGAGGGCGAGCAGGCCGAGGCTTCCATCTCCCACAGCAGACGCCACTTCCCCTACGGCCCAGTCCTCTGTGGAGGTGCACCTGTGACCTGGGGCCCACAGCGAGGAAATGCTGGAAGAGTGTGGGTTTGCAAAAGTCCCTCCTCTCACAGCCTAGGGGTGTGTGTGTGATACAGAGACAGACACACTTTGGCTTATTCCAAAGACCAGAGACACCTTTTTTACAAACGTATTTTATTTTAGTAAACAAAATACTGGTTCTTTTAAGAGCATATAAAAATTCACATAATTTTAAGTTAGAGCTATAGGCTGAGAGTTTATCCTTTGATCCAGCATTCAATAATTAAGTCTTCCTTCTCTTTCTTCTCAGCTGGAGTCCACTCAAGCTGACATTTAAATTACAAAATCTAGAAAAAAAGACCAAAGGGACAGTATGAAATGTCTGATAAAATAACAGCAAATGTTTTACTTGCTCAGCATTAGCCTTTATGTTCAGCCATTTAGATTAACTAACAGAAACCACTAAAGTTTATCAATTAACAAATTGAGTTTTTAGCGTCTTAAATTTCCATCCATCTAGAATTCCCTTTTGTTTAAAACAAGGCTCGAGGCTTTGATGAGCTGCCAGCCTGGGAGGGAGAAGGACCCCGGTGGTCAGTTCCAAGCTCAGCTGAGTGAGCCATCCGTCCCGACTGCACCGACAAGCCTCTGGTGGCGTTTGTGGGAGGTAAGAAGCATTTACGATCACACGCCTAATCTAAGCTTTTTTCCTCTTCTTGGTTTAACACACAAAACAATGACTGTCTGGAAGGGAAATTCAATCAACATTTCAACGAGAACTGCCTTCCCTCACCCTTTTTAATTTCTAAGTGCTCCCTCTTTCTCTACCCCACTCCTGAGTTTCAGTCAATAAAACACCTTTAAGAAAAAAAAGGCAAGGGCCAGCCTCAGTGGCCTAGTGGTTAAGTCCAGTGTGCTCTGCTTTGGCAGCACGGGTTAGGTTCCCTGGCGCAGACCTACACCACTCGCTTGTCAGTAGCCATGCTGTGCTGGCGGCTCACATACAAAAAGAGGAAGATTGACAGCAGATGTTAGCTCAGGGCGAATCTTCCTCAGCAAAAAAAAAAAGGCAAGGTTCCATGACAGTAACTTCCTTTGCCTGGCAAAGGCATGCAGCTCCCTGAGGACCTGTGAGTGGGGGCGGGTGGATGATGAAGGAGGTGAGTACTGGAGCTGTGGCGCCTCCTACAGCTCACTTTCCTGCATTCAGGAGGCAGTGTAGCCGGGGGTGAGACCCAGTGGTTGGATATTTGACCTGAGCTCAATTCTGGTTCTGTTCTTCACCACATACAGTGTGAGCCACTTTTTCAATTGGAATGGACCCCACAGAGTTGTCAGGAGTATATGATATAAAACCTCTGTATGTGAAATGCTTAGCAAAATGCTAGCACAGAAGAATCATTCAATAAGTGTCGCTATTATTACTAATAAGTATGCCCTTACCCTCAACAAGTCTAAAAGTACTGTAACAGAATTCATCTTCACAGAAGCACAGAAGCTCAGCGTGGGCAGGGGTTTTGGAGGTCACCAGTCCAGTGGTTCCTACAGTGACCTGTTGCTGGGAGGCTACATAAGAATAGATGTCCAGACCCAACCGTAGACAAAGCGAATCTCTCTGAGGCTGGAGCCTGGGAATCTGCATTTTTACCAAGCACCCCAGGCAATTCTGACTATTAGCCAGGTTTAGGAACTGGTGATCTAGAATCCCCTACCACCGTATCTGAATCCTCTAATTTTTAGAGAAGCACAGAATTCAACCTGATAAATGAAGAAACTGGATAGCTCACCAGAACTAAGGAGACTGCTAACTGTCATAGGATAAATCTGTAACGGGGTTTAATAACAACTTCCTGGTGCCTGGATGTACTTCACAAACACGTTCTGAGCACCCTCTGTGTGCGCTGTGTAGGTGCTGGGCTATAATGAGGAGTAAGACTTTGTGCCCGGCAAGGAGGTCATCAGGAAGGGCCCTCTAGGCCAAGGAACTGACAAGCAGAGGCAGAGGGGCATGAAAGTCTATCGTGGTCAAGGAATGGCTGGCAGGAGCGTGGGGAGTGGGCTGCAGAAGGGCAGCTGTGACCTGGATTAAGGACACACTGGGAAGGGATTTACATGCCGTACCTAAGAGTCACACTTTACCCTGAAGACAGCAGGGTTTCTTAATCTTAGGTATGGGCAGGGGTTTCAAATGACCTGTGACCCCACCTCCTCCTCACCTGTCTGCAATTTTATACACAATTGCAGGTATTTCTAGTATGTGTGCTTCTCTAGGAGAAGGTCCACAGCTTTCATGAAATTCCCAGGAGTCCTGTGACCCAGCACCTGGTAAGCACCAGAGCTCCCAATAAGGGAGAACCACTGCAGGCTCAGCGCCAAGGTGAGGACAGATCACACGTGTGCCCTGGCTCAAGGGTTGGGATCTGGAGACCTCGCCTTACTCAGAACTGTTCTACATTAGACAACAGGTGGGGCCACACGCCCTCGCCCGCCTTCAGACCCGAGGGACACGGGATTCTCTGAACCCTCCCATCCGTGGATGGGCCTGCCTGACCCCTGTACAGTTCACATCTGCAGAGTCCCAGTACCTTGGATGTCCCTTTAGTTATCTTTCTTCTCTGACTGTTGCTGCTTTCCGGCTTCCAGTTTTTGCTGTTTTGCTTCCAATCTTTTCCTCTGGTACACTTTGACTCCAGCGAACGCCAGGCAGAGAATTAATGTTTTCGCTGCCAAGATATACATCAGCAGGGGCACGTGTTCAAGAACCTTAAAAAAGAAAGAAAACATTCTAAATGTTCTACGATTGATAAGGAATGTTTCTTTTATGGTCCGTCATTCAACAACATTTACCATGCACTTATTATGTAACAGGCACTAGACCAGGTGCAGGGGCTTCACTGGTGACCAGGACAAACAAGGTCCCTGTCCCCACATCGCTGACAGTCTTGCTTTAGCTCTGCCCTTCATCACTCCCTGGCTGCTGGCTGCACAGAGAGGACCACCAGCGGACTACAGACGTAATAAGTCTGGTCTCTCACAACTTGACTGTGTACTTTCCTGATAACCCAGGCCCTCTGCTTCTGAGGCAGCGGTGTGGTCCAGGGCAGGAGCCACAGCCAGGGGGCCTGAGTTACAGCTCCACCTTGCCACTGACTGACTGTGTGACCTGGATCAGTCACTTGACTTTTCTGAGCTTCTGCCTTTTCACCTGCGAAAGGAGGCTGGACCAGACCTTCCTTCTGGATTCTCCAGCTTTAGTACACTATGATTTCCTCTTGGTTCCAGCTACCCATTAACACTGGTACTTGAAGGTAAAATAAACATTAAAATAAAATACAATAAAACTTAAAACATTAGAACTTAGCTACTATTTACTGTTCCTGTAATTTCCTCTTGGAAGGAAGTTTTAACCCATTGGCTAAAATGAAGTCTGGGGAATAACTGGGAATTTGAATGACTCTGCACTAGTGGGCTTTCTTATGAAATCCTATATACCACGGTAGTATCTCAAGGCAAATACTACACTAGTTTTGTAAACATTATTAGTATGACCCGAATGATAATTATGAGCTTTTGGTGTGATTAAAAATTCCTTCCCAAATAAAGTGAAAAGGTATGCTTTGCTGAGTGATTATTCTAGAGGACTAGGTAGGATTTATTCCAATGAAATCATTAATTTGCCAAACATCACTTATTATAACACCAATAGAATGAGATTCTACTATGGGGAGTACATTTGTCCCTCCCTCTAATAGTTTAACTAGAGTTGATTTGAAACTAGTTAGTGAAAACTTTAACTGAGAACAATATGCTCACAGACCTGGAGGACTGGAAAGGATTTTTTTTTTTTGGTGAGGAAGATTAGCTCTGAGCTAACATCTGTTGCCAATCTTCCTCTATTTTGCTTGAGGAAGACCAGCCTTGCGCTAACATCTGTGCCCATCTTCCTCTATTTTGTATGTGGGTCGCCGCCACAGCATGGCTAATGAGTGGTGTAGGTCCACACCCGGGATCCAAACCTGTGAACCCGGGCCACCGAAGCAGAGCATGCTGAACTCAACCACTACACCACGGAGCTGGCCCCTGGAAAGGATTCTAAAGATGAGGTAGTCTACCATCTTGTTTATAAACAAAGAGAGTAAAGCTCCTGGTGGTTAAGAGGCCCATCCATGTCTCACGGCTAATTCCTGATGAGGCCACAGCTGGGACAGAACATTCTAACCCAACCCCTATGCCAAGCTTCTTTCCACTGATTCCTGATTTTCAATGAAACGGAATTAACGAAGTCACAAATTATGTGGAACATGCATGTTCCTATAATTTTATTCTAATTCTTTATGACTCAGCTCTAGATGAAGATTTCATGTAGGAGAGATGTAGCAGCATCAGCCATCACCCACTGGGAGCTTACTGCACTCCAAACGCCTCGCACAGATTCCCCCCTTCAATCCTCAGAGTATCCCCACGAGGCAGACAGACTGTCCTCATTTTATGGCTGAGAAAATGTCAAGTGCGGAAAGGTGAGGGCCTGACCGCACTCTGACTGCTCCAAAGCCTGAAGTCTTCATCACTACACTGGGCTGTAACATACACGGTGCTCTCCCCACTCCTCACCAATTTTACAATTAAATTACGAAAATCAACAATGGCCTGGCTACTGAATTTACCAAAGGCAACTGGAATCACCACCTCTGAAGTTATTTAACCGGTTACTTATGGATATCTGAGGAAGGCAGTAAAGGGATGCAATAGGAATATAATAGATATCGAAAGGAGGACTCCAAATATTTAAACTTTTTTAATTTGACTAAATCAGTAAGAACACAAGGGCACTCTGAGTAGCTAGCGAATAATTTTAACAGTAAAGAATAAACAAAACATATGCACTTTAGAAAGATCACTCTGGCAACAGTTTAAAAGACAAAATGTTACAAAAGTGAAATGCTGATTTGGTTTCCAGGTCCTTCCTCCTCAGACCCATGGCTAACTTCCTCACTTCCCCCAAATCATCCTCTAAGCCATCTACTTTCTTGAAGCTTCTCATTTTAGAGAGAAGAGGCTTGACTCCATGTTTATAAACCAGCTACGAAAGAAAAGTGTGTTAAATGCTATTTTATTTTATCTCCTTGGAGGCAAAAATCATCAGTTTGTTGCACTACACCTCTTTCTATGTTGACTAGGATTTTCCAGGCTAATTGAGCCCTGTTCATATTGGGAAAAGTTACTCTCTTGCTTTGCATCTTGTTACTCTCTCAATCTATAGATGAGCCACTGAAGTTCTATTATGATGGACCCTACATCATAGGCCACAGTTCCCGTGAGCTAAACAAGAAACTTAGCTTTAGGAGGTACAGACATGTCCATCTCAGTCAGAAGTTAAAAAACCCACTGAAATAGAAACACATCCACAAATGGACACAGCTAAGTGGTTTCAGTATTTACTTTCTTTTTAAAGGTAATGGAGAGGACTCGAAGTTTCCAGGACTGAGGGGGGAGAGCAGAGGTAGCAGAGGTCAAGGATGCTACAAGGGCTACAGAAAGGGTTTCAGGGCCCTGCTCCTGCCCTCTTGGGTACTAAGCTTCAGTTGTGTTAAAGCTCTTCCTTCGATTTCTTTCTAACAAACCCCTCATATTAACTTTCGAAACATGCAAACCGGGCCGGCCCTATGGCTTAGCGGTTAAGTGCGTGCGCTCCGCTACTAGCGGCCTGGGTTCGGATCCCGGGCGCGCACCGACGCACCGCTTCTCCGGCCATGCTGAGGCCACGTCCCACATACAGCAACTAGAAGGATGTGCAACTATGACATACAGCTATCTACTGGGGCTGTGGGAAAAAAAAAAGGAGGAGGATTGGCAATAGATGTTAGCTCAGAGCCGGTCTTCCTCAGCAAAAAGAAGAGGATTAGCATGGATGTTAGCTCAGGGCTGATCTCCCTCACAAAAAAATAAAACATGCAAACCTTCAAGGAGGTAAATGAATAAAATATTGTTGGGGTGGACTAGGTGTACACCAATTTTTTAAAATAAAACCTCAATACCTGTGTAATGAGAATGGCTGACTTTTTAAATAACAAGGCCACACTCTGCGGCTAATGCACAGACAGCGTTGACTGTCACTGAAGGCCACAGGCCCCCGAGCCAGAGAGGGAACGTACTAGGGGCTATCCAACTCTTCAACCTCCTGGGGCTCCATGCAGTCAGGGCACAAGGAGAGACCACTCCTTTCTGACACTACAGGGAAGGGCCCCCTTTTTAAACATGAGGCTGCTCCCAGGTAGCCATGGTACTGGGTGTCTGCCCCAAGTTGGGAAGGTTTCGGCAGATTTTGTTCCTGACACAGAAAGGACTCCTTTTGTCCCAAGCAAGACTGGCCTGGGTGGTCAAGTGGGTTGACGTCACTCCACAATTAAAAAGAAAGCTTTCTCTGTGCACTGCCTTAGACCCGTGTGCATCAGCATTACCAGGGGACTCATTAACCCTGAAACTCCGGGGCTGGGGGAGTGCGCACTATGCCTTCTAAGACCGTGGTTTTGCTGCAGCTGAAGTGTGAGCGCCACAGCCTCGAGGCATGAAGCACAGGGCTCTGAGCCTGCCGACACGGCCTTCAGCACCAGTTACTGCCTGCCATCCCTTAGGCACTGCAGAGGGCAAAAGTCCTTCCCTGAATCTCACTCCCCACTGCTTCTGCTTCTTCCCCTCACATCCTCTCCCAGCCTCTCACCAGGAGCTCTGGAACCCAACACGCGCTAAACAGACGCTCCTCATGTTCTTTTTTTTTTTTATAATTTTATTTATTTATTTTTCCCCCAAAGCCCCGGTAGATAGTTGTAGGTCATAGCTGCACATCCTTCTAGTTGCTGTATGTGGGACGCGGCCTCAGCATGGCCAGAGAAGCGGTGCGTCGGTGCGCGCCCGGGATCCGAACCCGGGCCTCCAGTAGCAGAGCGCGCGCACTTAACCGCTAAGCCACGGGACCGGTCCACACTCCTCATTTTCAACCCTTCACAGAATCCTCCTTCTGCCTCCGTAACTTCAACCAGGCTCTTCTGGAGAACAGTGCCCACCACCCTCCTGCAGGGCCCCAGACCAAGGAGCTGGGGAAGGAGGGGAGGCTGTGTTCTCCTAGCTCCCTGATCCTGCGTCCCCACCTTTCTGGTTCTCCTTGCAACAGAAAGCTACTGGATGTTTTCAACAAAAAAATGCTTACAATAATTGAAAAAATACATACAATAAGATCCTAAGTTTGAAAATACATACTTTGCACTTATATATATGGAAAAAAATCCTGGAAGAAAATACAGCCATCTCTGGATGGTGAGACAATGCATGAGGCTTTTCTTTGAGAGGGTGTCCACTGACTTCTGATCTGCCTCTGAATATTTTATACTTTTCAAAGAATCTACAATAAACATATATTTTAGTGGCTGCTCTCTTAGCGAATCTCCACCTTACCCCACCTACTTGAGAGATTTAACATGACACTCTCCTTTCCCCCTGTAAGACCTGCTGACTGTTGCCCACAGCCCACTGAACAGCTAACAGGAACCTCTTTGGTTACCCTTCAACTTCTGCTCCCACCAGCTAATCTCATGTTTTACAGGGGTCAGTTGTGTTTATTCCCCAGCCAGTTTAAGTTGTACTTGATGTTATAATAGATAATTTATTTAAACATTGACACTTACAAAATATGACTACGTAAAGAAAAAGTTATTTCCATGAAAACGAAATTAAATGCTTTGAAAGACTCAATTTGAGTTTTAAAAAAATGCTGTTGGCAACACAAATGTAAAAGATTAGGGAGGAAGAACATAAAATTTGGAAAGACTTTGTGTGTAGATTGCTTCATAAGATCTCAATCCACTTTAAAGAAACCAAAATGTGAAACTGTAGGTGAAACTTTAAAGGCGTGGTTTTTGCAAGAAAAGTGAGGCAGATCTGACGTCAATGGAGGCCTTCTCAAAGAAAAGGCCTAGCCTTCCTCCAAAAGTCTGATGAACAAATGTACATTTATATGTTTTAATTTAAAGTATTAAATATTATTATGATTCCTGCTTTAATCTTTTTCTTTTTAATCCACCTACCTCTACAGAACTGTTATTCTAAATTTTTACAGTCAGGAGAAAGAAAAAAATCCAAGCCCTAAATGTTTAAAACTATTCTCACCTTCCAGTTCATGTTGGACCGGCTGTGAATTCACTCCCGATCAATGCAGGCTGACTCAGACAGGCATACGAGAAAGGGAGCTGGAAGGTCAGATCTCACTGTTCTGGTGAAGAGAAGAAATAGGTCAGTTGGGGTTTTCTAGAGCAGACCACCTTAGTAAGACTTCTTTTTGATGGAGAGAGAGGGCACATGAGCAAAGACAGCAAGCTGTGCAGAGAGGAGGGTTAAGTGTCCCCAACAAGGTGACCCGGAGCCTGGTGGAAAGCAGATGGCTTGGGTGAGGGCTGAGACACCCTTGGCTCTTGTTGAGCAGAAAGCTCTCCTTGCTACTCTTCGCCAGGGATGGGAGCCCGGGCCCAAGTGGAGGTGGCAGTGCTGCTCCTAAGGGGACACGTGCTCCTACTCCATTCATGTTTGCACATAAGAGCCCAGGTCCAAAATCTGTACTTCCACACACCTCCTGCCCTGAATAAAAGCTGGTTTGTGGATGAGTGTCTTTCTGTTTCTCAGGTCCTCTGAGTGTTAATTAAGCTAATCGTGGTTTTTAAAACATATTTGGAGAGAAAGAAGTAATGGGGGAAAAAACTGCTCTAAGAAAGCAATTCATATCTAGAATTCCCTCTAAAACGTGAGGGAGACCTAGGAGAAGGTGAGGCAGGAAGTGACAAGGCAGGGACACAGCCGGAGCACAGGATTTGCTCTGAGGCCTCGTATGTCACTATTTTTAGAATATGACACGTAACCCAAGAGTCAGAAGACTTGACCTCTGGATGAAGAACCTACATACTCTGGAAAGTGACTTCCCTCTCGGGGCCTTGGTCCCATCTGTAAATGAAGAAAGGGGGTGTCAACTACATGGGCTTGAGGGCCCCTACTTTTCCTGAAATTCGGTACCTTACAGTATAATCATCATTGCTTCCCTTTATTGTGCTGGCCATGTTCAAGTGCATTAGATGCATGAACTCATTTAGTCCTCACACCAGCCCTACGAGGTAGAGTTACTGTCTCCACTTCAGAGACGAGGGAACAGAACGTTTACGTAAAGCACCCAGGGTCACACAGTGGGGACTGGGATTCGAACCCACTCACTCTGGCTCCAGAGTCTTATCCTGATGCAGGCAGAGAGATCTGCATTCAAAAATCACAGGGATGCTTCTTTAAATGTACTGAGAATTAAGAAAAGCAGCAGAAAATTTCACAGACCTTTAGAATGGGAATAATAAAATGAACTTCAGGAAAGATGTTTTATACAAACTTTCACTTACAAAAGCACCTGAATATAAAAAGTTCATAGCTCATCTATTCAAGGTCACACAGTATCTTGAAAACAAGCTGGCAGTTGGCACAAGACAGCCAAGTTTTCCCCATGACTTTTTCAAAGTCAGATAGGCTAAGGACAGGAATTTACACCATAAATCTGTTTAAATGTGATGACGGTGATTGAAGGTGCCCATTACCTTCGTGTATAAATGTCCTGTTTGTCTTTAAGCAGCAGTAGATTCTGACCCGCACTGGAGAAATACGTTCCCAACAGTTTTAAACTGTTGCTAGAATTTTCACTTTGAGTAATCTCTAATAATCTCGGGGATTAGCCACGTTGTAAATTAAAATAATATGCTTAAGGTTATGCAAATTTTATTTTTACAACTCCTGCTTTAACTGAGTTGTGTAAAATCTGGTAGGTGGGTTTGGCTGTTCCTCACAAATTTTCTGAGGCCAAATTATATACCTGAATTGAAGTAGGTAAGAGATTAATTCCCAAGGTCATAGACAAGAAATAGGTCCAAAAAGCTTATAGGAGGAAATAAACTAAAAAGAACACCCAGTGGTCTGGCCCTCTGGCAAACATGTACTACGCTTAGTGGTTGACCTTGGACAACTCAACTGGCCTCTCTAAGCCTCAGCTCCCTCGTCTGTAAATTCTCCTTCAGACACTGGATTGTAAACACTAAGCCCCATGCACAGCACACGTAAAGCATTAAATAAATAACCATTATTGTCAGGACAAATATCCCTCCTTCTACTAATGGAAATACCAAGCTGAAAAACATAAACGAGTGGTACGCAGGGCAAAGTGCAGTCACTGCAAGACAGCAGGACACAGTATAAAAAATAACAACTTGAGGACAGGGAGAACTGCAGATCTGGACTCTAATCCTGGTGACACCAGTGGCAGGGCATGTGACCTGGAGCAAGTCAGTAACCTCTTTGAACCAAAGTGTTCTTACTTCTAAAATCAGAATCCAAAGAACTCTGCAACTCTGGAATTCGTTAAGTCACCATTCTCTCTGATATCACAGAATCTGACTGTAAAAATATACTGGCAGCTGCCTGAACTTCCCACGAGAGTGCTAAAATTCAAGCTCTTTAGGAAAGAAACATATTTAAAATTAAACCTGCAAGCAGTGGAAGGGGTGTAGTGAGGGTGGGAGAGGAGAGGGCAGATCAAGCCCGCTCATTCCCACCCACTGCCTCCAAATGATAACCTTTCCCCAACTCCCTCCAATTACATGCTCCCACTCAGCCATTTCTGCAGCACCCTGCAGGATCTCAGCAAATGAGGACAACTAAGAAAGCTAAAAATATCAGCAGGCTATTTGCTCTGCTGCCATATGCACACTGGATGCAACATTAGAAACTGGAGGCAGCTGGTATCTGAGGGCTGAACTGCAAAAGCCTACAAAATGGGGACAATTTGGAGAGGCACAAAATCTACGAAGTGCAGGACATTTTCAACTTCCCCTGGAAATATCCACAGTCTTAGCTTAAAACTCAAAAAGAACAACAGCTTAGATAGAAATAGTTTCATTTCCTTTACTGCAAAAATATCCTAATTTTTCCTTTGCCAGATTTCTCCTAGAAAACAGAAAAGCTATTCGCTTATTTTGGTTAGGCCAATTAAAGCAACGTGGACACTGTATTGTCCACAAATAACGTTTTCTTCTTGGCACACCTAACAAACTCAAGGGTCTGTCTGTCCCTTGGCGTCTAAGCTCATTCCAGCCAGTAATTTGGCTGTGTCCTTAGTCTGAACTTTCCGAAGCTGTTCTCATTCCCAGTCTCTACCCTTTTCTCTCCAACCCTCCACCCGATCATTTGAAGTTAAGGGTAGGTGAGGGGAGGAAGGGGTTCCGGGCGAACCTTAGGAATCACTTGGTGGACCTCTGAGCCGCACTGCCCGGTCAGCCGGGGTTCCCAGCGCCAGAGGGGCTGGGCCTCAGCCTGGACACTTGGAGAGGGACACCTGCCCCGCTCAGACCCCAAGATGAGGACCAAGGACGGCCATTGCTTCCCTCACCCTTCCACAGAACCGGGCGTCCAGAACATTCGCTCGTCCCCCAACACCCCCGGGAGACCAACACCCTCTGGCTGCAACCACCTCTGGGCTCCGCTCGGACTGCGTGCCAGCCTAAACACGCCGGCGCCGGGTCCGCGGATTTCTCGGCGCCTGGACAACCGGGCCAGGCCGGGGCGCTCCGTGGGTGGGGGCCGTGGCGGCCGTCACCCCCCAGGTCCCCATCCGGGGAGCTGGCGCCGCGCAGCCGGGGGCCAGCTGGCGGGCGTCCTGAGAGAAAGCGCGTACGCGGGGCCGGCGGCCGGATTCCCAGTGCCCCAAAGAGCTGCCCTGCTTCGGGTCAGGATGCCGCTGACCCAGACGCCACCCACTTACAGCTCCAGGCCGCGGAGGCTCCTGTGCCTGGCTGACTCACAAACCACGACTCCCACAATGCCGCGGGGAACTACAAGTCCCGAAGAGCACCGCTCCGCGCCGGCGCAGTGGGCCCGGGCCGCCTTCGTGGGCGCCACGCTCTGTGCGCCGGCGCAGTGGCCTGAGCGGTGTCAGGGCGGCTGCGATGAGGCTCGTGGGTCGGCGTAGGACTGGTCCGGGGCGAGCCGCCGGGGCCTGGACCGGGTACCTCCGTCCAGGCCTGGGGCGTGTTCTGATTCTGAATTTAGCTGAGCTGGAGGAGGACGGCGGCAGAGAGCCGGGCGTCGCGGGGCCCCTCGGTCCTCAGCTGTCCCGCATTCCCTGGTTGCTCCTCGCAGCTGTGTGCGACTGAGGACACGTGGGTCACCAGAAGTTTCCAAATTTAGCGTTCATCTTCGCTGACAAAATGCATGCATTTTACTTTGGGATAGCGGGTGCTCGGTACTAGGTTCCCAGGTTGCTTCATTCAACAAAAGCTTAGTAAACGCGTGCAGAGTTTGAGCACACTCAGTCCCTGCCCCAAGGGAGCCGCAAATTGGACACCCAGATACAAGGGAACGAGAGGGAATGTTCACAGAGCTTTTACTACTGCTCGGCTCACTCGTCTGTGAATGAGGAAACTGAGGCAAAGGGAGGTTAAGTGGCTGGTGCAAGACAACGCGCGAATTGCATTGGCATAATCTAGATTTGAACCCGGGCGGTCTAACTCCAGATCCATTATGGCTTTTTGTGGTGATGAAGTACAAAACGTTAGGGAGTGCAGAGGAAAGGACAGACTGAGAGGTAGGAGATAGTAACAAATAGCTTTGTTCCTTAGAACTTGGAGACTATTGCCTAATTGAGGTCTCATAACAAGCCTATAAAAGCACATAATATAATTATGTCCGTTTCACAGCTGAGGAGATGGAGACCCAGAGATTAAAGTAACTTGTCCGGGGTTTAAAGCCAGCAAGTGCCAGAGCTGGGACCTGACTCTGGGTAGTTGGGATCGATACTCTTTTGGGGCAGCCACTACGGTGAGTGCCTTTTCAAGTCGCTTCTGAGCTACCCTGTAAGGAGTAAGTGGCACTCAGGTCATATGGAGCCAGTAGACCAACCAGGAGGAACTCTGAAAACAGAGTGGAAAAGATAAACAGCAAGTTGTTTGAATTGGCATCTTTAGTTGCCGCCGGGTTGAAAGTGGCAAGCCTGGGGCTGGTGGGAATTCACACGGGAGTGGCAAACGGCGGGGTAGATGGTTTCAACAACTGTATACTCAACATACTTGTAAAGATTCACAAATTCCCATTCCCCAAAAGTAAAGTTGGCTGATTACCATCTATGTTACTCCCTATACGTTCAGTGATGATAATAAAATTTACTTAATTGAGAAAACCTAGATTTTTGTCCCTCAATTTGTTTTCGTGTGTCAAAGATAAACAAAGCCAGGCACGAGTTAAAGTGTTAAGGATAGACTTTATTGAGTAACTATTGCCACAGGGAAGAGGGTTGAGCATGAACTAAACTCAACTTGGATTTGTGCAGAAGTAAATGGAAATTTTAAAGGGAGAATGAGGGAGTGGAGGCCCTTGAGCAGAATCAAGGAAGTGGAAATTTACAAAAAGCAGGGAATTGGTCAATCTGACCTGGGTTTGTTAATAGGCACTTGTCTGGAGGAGAAACAAACTTCTATCTTTGTGACCAGAGACAGTGGTGCAAGTTAGAGCAAGGTGCCCATCAGGCAGGGAGAGTTCCCTCTTTGAATGGTGGCATTTCACAGAGACAAGGCAGTTCTGGGTGGTAAAAGATTTACATCTCAAAGTGGGAGAGAAAGGAGAGATTTACATCTCAAAGTGGGAGAGAAAGGAGAGATTTACATCTCAAAGTGGGAGAGAAAGGATTTACAATTGCAAGCTTTCTAAAGCAATTGTTCTAAGAGGGGGTTTAGGGGTCTGATTTGCCTGTCAACAGGTTTTGGCTGGAACAAACAGTAAATTCTGGCAGCGTTGAGCTTTCTCAGGCAGACAGTCTAAAGGGGGCTGGGTCTTCTTGGAGATGCAGCTTTGAGCTGTTAGAAACTATGCTAGTGTTTGTTCAAGTCTCTTACTGTGGGGGGTGGGGGGTGGGGATAAAATGGTTTGTGCCGAGAGTCTGCAGTGTTTGTAGGCCAAGGTTGTGGCCTAGAGAAGAGGGCTCAGAGGAGCCTGACCAGAGTTTGGTCAAGGAGACAGATAGTCTTTGTCAGCTGGTAGAAACCTCAGATCCCTGTGTGGGATCTAAACTGAGGCCTGGATTTCGTAGCCTGGGTTGCTGCTCTGGGCACACTGTGATGAATGTTCTGTGTGGAACAGCATTTCTGGGTTTCTGATCTAAGGAAGGAAGCCACTCTGCCATCTCTGCTCTTAGAACATGAATGGCTTTCTCTATCACTGTATTTAATGCTTCTGTTAGCATAATTGCACATTTGTTATTAGGAAACAGATACCTTGTAAATATCTCACTCTAAAGGGATAAACCTTGTAGTTGATGTAAGACATCCTACAAGCGTGCCTTGAAGAAGGGCTCCTTTTTTTGAATCTTGTCTTAGTGCCCTGAGACTTGACGCCCTGCTCACAATTGCTCTGACTTGGCTGAGCAGATGGGGAGATGGGGGAGGAGAAAAGGGTCAACTAGGAGGCACAAAGCTATGGCCCCATATCCCTGTCTTCCATTGACTTCCTACTCTCAGCTACTCTGAGAGAGTAGAATGTGACCCAAGTTAGGCCTGCCCTCCTGTCCCTGCTGTAGCTCTGCCCACTTTGTGTTGATCTCTGTTATAACCTTGTCACGTTACATTATCATGATGTTTATGTATCTGACTCCCTCTCCCCTGAGTGTGTTCCTTCACCTCCAGGAGGCTCGTACATCTCTATACTCCTGGGGTCTAGGCCAGTGACCCAGATAGGTAGATGTTATATCTTGCTTATTAAATTAATGAATGAAGTCTCCTAATCTGTGGACTGCAGATTCCTCATCTAGAAATGAAATGATCTCTCAAGAATATGATGATTTCAAAGGTGCCTTCCAGCCCTGATATCCTATGATATCGTGAACCCCAAGGTGTAAAGTATTAAGCAGTTACTGTCTAACTTTTCAACAGATATTAGCAATTTAGACACTTTCTGTACCTTTGGTCTCTCAAAACGTAAGTGAAAATAAGTAATTGTAAATAGAAAATAAGTTGAGTGAAAAGAATAAGTTGTTTATAAAGCAATGTTATAACTTTTTATTTTTTTCTAAAATAATGAGAACTATTAAATGTTAGTTTTTTGACAAATTTGAAATATTCGTTTAAAAATGTTTCTGTTGCACCAGATAGATCTTAAAGATTCTACTTTTCTAGTGTGGACTATTTGCCCTAGTAAAGTGTTTGTTCTGTCTTCAGACTTCCAAATAAGCTAAATGCCAGAAAAACAATACATGTAAAGTAACCCCAGGATCCTATTCATTCGTCACTTCAAATTCTACATTCATGAATCAGTAAATAAATGCTCCTATGTCAATCCAGTAGCAAGTGATAGATTTTTGAACCCCAGCTTCTGGGTAATACATCTGGGTTATTTATAAATTGAATTAGTCATATACAAAATAATGTTTCGTGAGAAAGAACATTCAAAGATTGGTTAATCTCTCCTTTGTGCCCTCACTGCGACTGCACAGGCACTTTACTTAAATTGGGCTTTATTTTCACTACTGACATTGATTAAAATGACATTGACATTGCACAGAAAGTAAAAGAGGTCTTCAGCATGAAATATTGCTCGGATGAGAAGCATAAATCACTGAGATTGAAATGTCACCTGTCTTAGTTGGCCAACCACATGCTCTCCACGAAAATTCTCAACAGAGAGCGAGGAACTTAATGTCTTCTAAGCAATGACAATTCGAATTTGCTCCGTGGCACTGGCATCTCTTCATATCTGGAGGTCAAAGGTTGGCTTTATGGCTTTCTCGCTTGTCAAGGAGACATTTGGAACTCTGTTGCACCCATGTTCTTCTGGATGGTGGCCTTTGGTTCTTCTAGATTCAGAATTTGACTCCTGTACTTCTCTTGCCAATCCTCTACGATGTACTGGTGGTAGGGGTCGTTGGAGTGTTCTCGTCTCTTGGATTTCACCGTGCTCACCAGGATGGCTACAATGATGAAAGAGAACATGCCAATCATCACCATAAGGTACAAGATGACATAGTAGAAATTCTCAGCTTCAACTTTGGCTTGCAGGGCCTCTTCCTCAGCTGTCGTGTTCCTGCGCCAATTGTTCATATAAGTAATGAAAATCCTTTTGAAGACATCTTCCAGTGTCTGAGTCAGATTGGATAAAGTAGGCATATTTCCCTCCTGCTGCAATTTAAATCATAAAATAGATGAACAAGGTTAAGAAAACTGATCTTTTCTGCAATTGGCTTCCTTAAAGGATGGAGGGAGGGGCATGTGAGCGGGGAAGTAATATTTTTTCTTCTTAACATGGCTGGTGATTGACTGAATGCATAGTTTGTTATTCTTTAAACTTTTCATATGCATTTTTTGCATGCATGATATTTTACAATAAAAGTTTAATGGAGGACATAAAAGTATATATAGTATGATGCAATTTGTATATATAAATAAATGTGTACATGCATATGAAAATGGAAAAAAGCCTGGAAATAAATAGTTCAAAAGATTAACAGTGAGAGGTATGCTTAAAGAAAATTCTTTTTCTTCTTTATACTTTTCTCAAGTTCCAAATTTTCATCACTAATCTTACATTAGTTTGTTTTTGAATAGATCAGTAACCTCACAACAGCTAGCACAATGCCTCGTTCATAACAGGCATTCAACGAACATCAGCTGAATGAAGCAGTGTATGTCCCATGTTTTTAGAGAATTATGGGGCAGAAGATTGCACGGGGTGTTGACAGACTTTGCAATTTGTTTCATCTCCTATGTGTAGGCAGTGCTTTTTCCAGGTATCCCAAAGAGATGAGTGTGTACATCCATATTTGAAGGAAGTATTTTAGTTAAGTGATACAAAGAAACAACCTGAGAGATCATTCATATTCCTCAAATGCAGCTCTCATCTCTATCCTCATTATCACTGCCCAGCCACCACATCTCTCACTGGAATGATACAATGCAATGCCACACAGCTTTCCCCAAAACCATCTCCTTGGGGTCACATCTGCCCCTCACTGCCCTGCACAGCCATCAATGTGCTCTTTTTATGACAGAAATAGGGTGGGATCATTCCCTTGCTTTTAAAACAATGCAATATCTTCCTGTTGTTCATAAAATAAAGTCCTAATTTCTTATCGGGTTGTACCTGGCCTGGCCTGAGGTGGCCCCTGAGCACCTCTCCATTTACCCCACCCTCATGCCAGTCTGGTCATACTGGCCTTCCTTCCTCCGAGTCAATAAATGTTCTGCTTCGGGACATTTGCACGTTCTATTCCTCCAACCTGGAATGCTTCTGCCCATCTCTACCTTCTGCTACCTCCTCCCCCTTACAGTCCCAGCTTAACTGTCACTTCTGAGAAAACTTCCCCGTCCCTGCTCTCAGTCACTTCCCACCACCGCCCACACCACCACCACCACTTTTCGCCAATAGCATCTTATTATTTTTCCTCAAAGCACTCTTCACAATATGTGGTAACTGTGCAAATATATCACTGGTGTGTGTCTGTGTGTCTGTGTGATTATTGGCTTCTGGTATCATCTTTCCTTCTCGATTGTCATCTCCACGAGGACAGGGCTCACGTCACCTTTGTCTACCTTGTCATAGCCCATGTCTGGCACAGAGCCTGACACACAGTAGGCACACGATGAATGTCTGATGAATAAATTAACGTGCCAGGCACAAGCTAGGCATTGGAAATGCAGAGACGATGAATATGAGCGTTCTGTCTGTGGAAGCTCAGTGTAGTGGGAGAGACACAAACAAATGACAACGCAAAGTGCCAAGACTTGTAACAGGTACGAATGAAGTGATAGGGAGCTCAGAGAACACAGCTGAACGTGGTTCATAGATGGGCATGTAAGTGTAAACAGAACCAGAAGGACTATAGGCAAGAAGGAAACCTGTGATTGGCTGGGACCTGCGGTCGCCCCAGTCGATAAAAGCCCAAATGACCAAACCACGGGTTTGCCTAATACCGTTCTGAAAGCAATGTCTCCTCTCTTTAACGTGTATCCTCCTTTCCTCCTATGAAAAGAGATTTTTCAGATCGCCCCACCTGGGAAAGGGACATAAACAAACTTCCAGGTTTCTCCTCAGAACATGCTTTCCCGACACTTGCCTCATTTGGAATTACTGTGACTAAGATAATATGTGTTTCTTGATCTGTTTTAAGTTCTATTATTCAAAGAGCGCAGAGATCTTCCTCTCCCTCTCCACTCTATGCAAAGCCTAGTGGGTTGAAAAGAAATTTAACAAATAGATGATTGCCCCAAAGCACATGTCACGCACATTTTCCAAGCAATGTAACAGAGCAGGGCTTTTTCCCCCTTAAAATAATGCAGTTCACTGAAAGAGCATAGCTAAGCTGGCTTTAAGCCTACTCGAGACTTCACCACTGGCTCCTAACCCTTGGAAAGACAAGGTCTACTCATTTTCGGGGAGTTCACACTTATTTCATCAATCAAAATACAACCACCCCTACCCTCTGTACTGTGTCAGGGCTGGTCTTACAGATGTGATGGGGCAGGATGACTTCATCTGTGAGTGTTCCCACCCTCCGTGTTGGCCAACCCTTCTCCACGTTGTCATCCAATAAAGCAAATGGTGATTTTGCCAGCTCGTCTATCCCCCTGCTGCACCCCAGAGAACATTCAGTTTCCTTTTGTGAAAACAAATTGGAAAATGGGTAGAACATAGAGACAACTGAAAAAGAACCAAAGAGCTAAGTTTACAAAAGTCTGGTAGTGGGGCAGAGGAAAGTCACAGGGATGGGCACTGAGGGAAGTTGGTGTGGGAGAGGGTCTGAGCAACTGTGGAGAAGGAGGAAACTGAGAAGAGGAAGAGTGAACCTCTTCTAGGTAGAAAGTCAGATCCCCTGTAGGGTTCTTCCTGAGATGCTGTCAAGACTGGAATTATTCTAGTTGTTTTTGCTTACGGGACAGTACTTCTCTGAAGCAACTTCAGTATGCACTGGGTCACATGAGGCCCTGCCTTGTATCTGGGCTCCCCCAGAGAGGTGGTGGCCTTGCAAGCTCCTAAGTGACTTGAGCTCCTCTGCCTACCCTGCCTCCCATACATCTCCTTTGTGGGCTGTGCCCCTGCTTGGAATTCCACCAGTGACTCCTCTGAGTGGGGGAAGTAGAGGTCCCAGTGCGATATAGGAATGACAATAGTATAGGCCACGCTCACTGTCAATATTGTTCTGCAGATGTTTTCACCAAGCAACTGGTTAGCTTTTCACCACCTGTCAAAAATCTAGGTCAGATCCTCAGTCATAAGAAGTGCTCGATCAGTAGACCCCTGTTCCTTCGGGGCTTTGAGAGAATGGCCGACATAGGAGAGGTATGTTTTGAAGCTTTGCAAGCCCATCTAGAATGGGGCGCCTCAAGGGAAGCCTCAAGATTCCACAGCTGGAACAGGGATGGGGCACTTTAAGTATTGAGGGGGAGGGGACATGGGTTCCAAAGGAGAGAGGAGGGAGCACTGAAGTAAACTTAGCCTTCTAAATGACTTTTCCTGTGTTGTCCTGCAGAAGGAAGAAATACAGCTTCCACAGGACAAAGGAGCTGAATGCCCCCTGACTCACATAAAAATGGTGGTATGCTCTTGTAGTTCCAGAAACCTCATCCACCAGCTTTTCCCCGACTACCCAGTCTGGGTTGGAGATCCCCTGCCTGTGCTTCTTCATGTTTGTTTGCTTGTTTTCAATTATGCGTTTATTGTGTGCTCATTCATACAATGCTCAAAACCACTCTATGACATTGGGATTGTTACCTCCATTTTACAAGCAAGGAAACTGATGTTCAGAGAGCGTTAAGTCGTTTGAATCATAATTACACGAGAGCCTGAGCTGCTAATGGGTGGGGACTGTTTTATTTGTCTTTGAATCCCAGGGCCCTACACCGGGGTCCGTACATAGTAGACCTTTACTAAATGTTTGGTGAATGAATGGATGTTTCTCTCCTGTGTACTGTAGAATTCAACTGGAAACTACCAGAACAGTGATTCTTAACTTATTTGCAGGGGAGGGGAGGAGAAGGGTTTGCAGATCCCTTGAAAAATAAAACAATTTGATTTTATTTTTCCCCAGAAAAGTGTACATATGTACATACGAAGCTCTACGTTCACGTCCAGGGGACTCCTGGGCCCCGTAAAGCCCATTCTAGATTCTCTGCAAAAAATAGCTTTGAGATGAGGGACATCAGTGCCTGATTCCACTGGAGCTATTTGGGTTTGTTTCAAGGTGTGGGCACGGCAGCGTTCACCAACCTGTTAGGGCTAATACTACTGATTCTTCGTTCAGCTCTTCTAACGTGGACAAAGGCCACTGCTGAGCAAATCAGGAGGTACTTTTTGATAACACTTAATCATGGAGCTGAAAAGGGCCTATGGGGATTAAGTCCCTAAGTGCAAACCTCTGGCCAGGCTGAAGAAGTCAAGTCCAAGGGGGATTCACTTTTTGAACACTGTTGCGTGAGACATGACTAAGCAGACCGTTGTCTGTTCCGGAACCACAGGAAAAATACAAACCACAGTGTGTGAAAGCAATTTCATTGGTGGAAATTATGCTAAAACAGATTCAAATAGATTTACATTTCTGATATCCAGAATAACTATTTAGCTGGTAGACCTTGACCATATTTGGTATACATCCCTATTCCTCCTCTGTGTAGAATAACATAATCGGTGTTTACTTCAGTAATGTAAAGGCAACTATTATTCATGTTCTGTTGAACCATATGAAATTGCTATTTACGTAGGTTAAAAATGGTCATATATTGGCAATTTCATATGATTTGACCTAATATATACACACCTATATTTTCAGGCATTTTCCATAAATAGTTCTTGCTCAAAAAACAGGATGGGCCCCTAGAGATAATTTAGGCTGGACTGCTCATTTGGCGAGTGGAGTAACAATAGCCCACAGAGCTTAAATCACTTGTCCAAGGTCACAGGGCTTGTATGTTGGCCACATGCAACTTGGGACTAGAAACCCAAGTCACCCAGGCTAGTGCCCAGCATCCACTCTGTCCTAGCAGAGGTCACACGTTCCAATAACTCCCTGTTTACATCGCCTGTAGCTGGTCAACTGAGCAAAAGAAATGAGACAAAGACCATGGTTTGAGCTCGTGCACATCAATTAGTTGTGCCCTTTCTTCAGGACACAAAATAATTCCCTAATTCCAGCTGTGCCTGTCATAGTGTGTGTAATTCATGACAAG